ACAACACACTTGCTGCTGAAACATTGGATGTATGGTGAACATATGCACGTCTGATTTGCATAATAAGCATTTGTTGGCAAACACAGATGTTATTTAGATGAGGAAAGGCTGAGATGTCATGTGATTTAAGTCAATGCTGATTTAAGTCTTCTTGGTTATTAATTTCTCTACAACTGATGTTTTTTTACTGTAAGGCTTCTGAAGTGAGGTTTAAAAATGCAAAGGAGATGTTAATGAATTTTAGTGAATTAAAGATGCAAAGCCACAGAGTTATAGAATGGACTGAACATGTATTATACTGTCGGTTAGTGATTTATAACAATAAAAGAAGTTATTAATCGCATTCTTTAAAATATCTATAAATATTAAATATATGTATATGTTAAATATATCAATTAAATGTATATTATTGTTATTACTTTTATTATTATTATTATTATTACTATTATTATTATCATTATTACTACTACTATTGTTTGTAGTCATTTCCACAAAAACTGAAATTAATTATTAAAAGTAAAAGGAAGAACAAAGGAAGCATTTATTATGTTGTCAATTACTGAATTATAATATAAAGAATACAAAATATATTTTAAAAAATTAAGTATTTAAAACTAAAGAACACCCTATAAAATCTTAGCAATAATTCTTTTTAACAAAATAAAATGTAATTTGTGTTTTATTATTATTAATGATGTTATTAATGATAAAATAAATAATCATAATGTTGTCATTTCCACAAAATTTTTATTCTTACATTAAAAGTAAAAATTTACTATTGATATAAAATATATTTATATAAAATATTATAAATTTAGGTGACAAGCTGGCTCAGTGGTTAGCACTGTTGCCTCACAGGAAGAAGTTCAGTGGTTCAAGTGCCAGCTGAGTCAGTTGGCATTTCTGTGTGGAGTTTGCATGTTCTCCCTGTGGTGGTGTGGGTTTCCTCCGGGTGCTTTGGTTTCCCCCACAGCTCAAGACATGCGGTACAGGTGAATTGGGTAAACTAAATTGTCTGTAGTGTGTGTGTGAATGAGTGTGCATGGATGTTTTTCAGTTATGGGTTGCAGCTGGAAGGGCATCCGCTGTGTAAAACATATGTCGGATAAGTTGACGGTTCATTGCACTATGGCGACCCCTGATGAATAAAGGGACTAAGCTGAAGAAAAATGAATGAATGATTTATAGCAAGGGTCACCAAAATTGGTCCTGGAGGGCTGGTGTCCTGCAGATTTTAGCTCCAACCCTAATCAAACACACCTGAACAAGCTAATCAAGGTCTTACTAGATATACTTGAAACACCCAGGCAGGTGTGTTAAGGCAAGCTGGAGCTAAACCTTGCAGGGACACCGGCCTTCCAGGACTGAGATTGGTGACCCCTGATTTATAGATTTATAACTTTAAAGTACTTTAGATAAAATCATCTGCTAAATACTGAAATGTAAATTTATATTTCAGGTGGTACCAAACTGATTTAAGACAACTCAAATCTCAAATCATTTCTATGACAATTTTCCAGGGCTTATAAACAGTTAAAGCCTTAAATTCATCATTGCATGTTCAGAAAAGAAAGCCAAAGACTCTAATTTATAACAAAATGCACATGCACAGACTAATAGTTTTCATTTACAGTAAGAATTAAGTAATAAGATATCCTCTGTAGCAATAAAAATACACAGAAATATGTAAATTGTGGTATGAGAACAGATCTACCAACATGAGCACATGCAGAACACAGAACAATTTGGTGTTGGGGGAATCTAAAGAGAAATATTTGAGTTCATATTGACATCTGACTCTCACCTAAAACATACAGTTGAAGTCAGAATTATCGACCCCCTCTTTGATTTTTTTTCTTTTTTTTTTTCTCTCTTTTAAATATTTCCCAAATTATGTTTAACTGAGCAAGGAAATGTTCACAGAATGTCTGATAATATTTTTTTTCTTCTGGAGAATGTCTTATTTGTTTTATTTTGGCTAGAATAAAAGCAGTTTTTAGTTTTTTTTTAATCATTTTAAGGTAAAAATTATAAGCCCCTTTAAGCTATATTTTGTTTCGATAAAACAAACCATCATTATACAATAACTTGCCTAATTACCCTAATCTGCCTAGTTAACCTAATTAACTTAGTCAAGCCTTTAAAAGTCACTTTAAGCTGTGTAGAAGTGTCTTGAAAAATATCTAGTCAAATATTATTTACTGTCATCATGGCAAAGATAAAATAAATCATTATTAGAAATGAGTTATTAAAACTATTATGTTTAGAAATGTGTTGAGAAAATCTTCTCTCCGTTAAACAGAAATTAGGGAATAAATGAACAGGGGGGCTAATAATTCTGACTTTACCTGTACATGAGATTAATGGGGCACTTTGCTAAAAATAATATATATAATAATAATATAGGCAATAAAGAGTATAAAAAATAATCTAGAACAACTATGATCTTCTTTATGAATACACATGCAATATCAAATCACACAAATCCCACTATACAGCCATTATATTCAAAACAACCACAATAACTTGCAAGGACAAAAAGACAACATCTAAATGATAATACGTGTTTAAACACACATAAGACATCAAGCCACAGCAGAAACAGCATGTGTGGCTTTGCAGGATTTGAGGAAATCTGTGTTCTGTAAGTCACTGCCAGTGCTGCTTCATTAAGAGTCTTAATGGTGATGTTTAATTAGTGCCTTCTCACTCACAACCACTGATTTATGAATATGTGTGCGTCAATGAGGGATGAAGCAGAACAGAATGCATACAGATCATGAAACGTTTACAGTACACACTTGCACACAGACACTAATACATCCCTAATCCCATATAGAAATCTGACACAAGGCAATACAAGCAAATCCCATACACTGTCAAAACAAATGCAGGGTTGCAGGGATTTAGTGATTTGGGGGCCCTAAGTAAATCCAGCCAAAAGTTTTAAAATGCACCTTTTGTACTTTATTTTTTAGATATTTTGCTGGGTTGTTTTTTTTTTTATATCACTCAATCTCCTTTTTCTACAGTTTATCTAAATGCTTATGTAGCATCTTGTAACATATTGTAAAACCTTTAAAATGATTTGTTTTTATGTTGTTAATCTTAAAATAAATATAAAAATAATAAATAAACTTCCCAGAGATGGGTTGCGTGTGGAAGTGCATTCGCTGCGTAAAACATGCTGGATAAGTTGGCGGTTCATTCCGCTGTGGCGACCCCAGATTAATAAAAGGACTAAGCCGACAAAAAAATGAATGAATGAATAAATAAACTATTTCATTTTAAAATTTAAATCTTTTTAACAACACAAATTAAAATTTTTAGACCCTTAACATATATGATAGTAAATGATGTTATATATAATCTTTAGGCATAATTTTTACTTCTAGGTATTTATTTGGGGGCGCTCAGATTTCCCAGGGCCGATTTTCAGCGGCCGATTACTGTGCTTATTGGTTAAATCCGCCCCTGGTTCCACAACAAAAATCGATTAACTTAGCTTGAATTGAAGTGGATTGAACATAAAACATTTCAGCTGTCCCAAAAAAGAATTATGATAAGCACATTTTAAATAAGTACTTTGAACAAGCAGCAAATTATGCTTTTGAGTGTATTTCACATATTAGTTTATGTGTGGATTTAACAGACATAAATAAAAATTAAAATGAGATGTCAACAGTGCAAAAATGGCGGTTTACATATATATTTTTCAACTCTAGAATTACAAATCATATATATATATATATATATATATATATATATATATATATATATATATATATATATATATATATAGCCTACACAAACAAAACACACACACGGTTCAAGTTTATTGTATCGCTCAAGGTGTAGGGGTATTGTTTATTTAAGCAGATTTAGCCACCCTAAACAGGACATTTAATAATGAGAGTACTATAGACAAAAATGAATATATTATCTAGTTAATTAAATAGAACTTGAACAGGATCCATTGATTTGAATCTACTGTGTCTCTAGCTAATGTTATGCTGACATCTACTGGATGAATCTGAGCCTTACAGCCCAGTGCGTATATGTATATATATATATTTTGAGGACAGCGATATTATTTGGATTTTAAAACGACTAAATTGCAATATGTTGCTTAAACGTTGACATGTAAACCCATCTTCAAAAAGAATGTCAGGTAAACAAACGTTATTACTCACTATTTTCATCTCCAGCGTGGATTTGCTTCCGTCCACTTTGACAGGTGTGACTGACCCTGATTACTTGTCTCACGTGATGGCTGCGTAATTAAAGCACGTGCGCTTGTACGGTGTGTTTATTTGGCGTTATAACAGCGATGGCCACTAGAGAACGTTAATTGAAACAATTCACACTTAATAGATTTGTACATTTCATATTATTTATTTATTTTCAAAATGTATTTACATTTTATTACATGTTCTTTCTGTCAGTTAGTGGAGCTTGAGATATTTGCAAAAATTGCAGCTTTTTATATGCATTTTTGTTTAATGCGTTTAAATTTAAACCATTTATATCAAACTACCTGTACAGTTCAGCACTTTTCTTCAAAACTATTTTGTAAGTAATCTCGCGAATTTATAAAATGACAAATTTATAAATGTTGGCAGTTTTTCAACAAAATAAAAGTAAAATTAGTTTTTAATAAAATAATTTTAATTAGTTTTAGAATATGAAATTAAGCAATCAATGAATAATTATTGTTACTGTTCATTTAACGATGCATATTTACAGTGTGAAAAATTGTCATGCTATAGTTTATAATCATCTATCCAACAGTTTTAGAGAGAAAACATCTGCGATAGGCTTTATTTAAAAATATCTTGGAAAACTTTCGCAAAAACTGTGATAATATAGTTAAAAATAAAATTATATTTTTTAGAAATGATTCAAACATTCTTTGATTTAAGGTAGAAACTTTAATTGCAAATTTCCAAGACGGTTATAAAATATACCATAACTACAGTGAGAAAAAGAGAAGCATTTTGTTGGGCAATATTTTTATTTGTAATATTTACTGATGTACAGTAGCTACAGGTGAAAATAGCAGTGTGAATCATTTAAAATACGTGGAAAAAATCTAGGGAAGTCACTTTAAAATCAAACAGTGGTTTTATAAATATTACCAAACGTAAAAAATAAGCTGAAAGCCAAGTGCATAAACAAAAAAACTAAACAATTTTAATGGTGCAGTTGTGCCGCTGATGACATGGAAAATGACTAAAAAAGATGTTATGTTTAATAAATACATTCACTAATTTACAATCCACTCATTTACAGTAATTCCTGTAGATTTTTGTGATTAGTGGGTGTTTTTTATTTATGCTTTTCAATTACGAACTTAATCTCTGCTCCAACAAATGTTAATGTTGAAAAGTTTAACAAAGTGATTTTGAATTGTTTGAAACTTTGTTGATCATGTAAATGATTTTACAAAATCTACAATGTGTGGCTAGAATTTTCTGTAATTGTGCATCATTATTAAGTCTTATACAATCTATTGTTTTAAACTACTACAAAAAAAAAAAAATCTATAAAAGTCACTTTGTTAAAGTACAGAGTTAAATATTCACATTGAAACTTGATGGAGCACAGATGAAGGTCCCATAACACAATTCCAAAGCATAACTAAACAAAAACTAAATAAATGAATGAACCCAGCAAGCATTTTTTGTTTTTAAAAAATGTCTAATAAACGCCTAAACATAGTTGTCTTGGTTAAAACAAGGCTAAATTTGGGCTGTCAGTGAAAATCTTATATAAGATTTGTCTTGTATAAGAATAGCCCAAACTAGTCATCAAACAAACAGAAATGAATGACTACACATATAAATCTGTCTAATCTGTCTATTTGATGACTATTCTAGTTATGGACTATTCTTAGATGTCTAATAGACATCTAAACATGGCTAAAACAAGACTAAAACAAGGCTAAATTTGGGCTGTCAGTGAAAATCTAATAGACGTCTAACAATAGGCCAAAACTAGACTAGTCATCAAATAAACAGGAATGAATAAGTAGTTATTCATATAGCTAGTTTTGGGCTATTCTTCGATGTCTATTAGATTTTCACTGACAGCCCAAGTGTAACCTTGTCTTAGCCAAGCTGTTTACACCTAGATGTGTATTAGATGTCTATTAAACAAAGATTGTTTGCTGGGAATGAATAAATATATTATACAGTGTCTGAATAAGCCATCAAAAATTCACCAACTCCTGCTACTATACTGTATATGTTTATTTTACAACACCATTTCATTGATTGATTGTGGCTATTTTATTTTATACAAACACATTCTTTATATTCGTTACACTCTCAAACAAACTTCATTTGCACCATGAGATTGTCCTGTTCGGACCATATGTTTTCATCTCGGAGGGATTTTGCAAGGTTTGACAGTCTTTTTTTTTTTTTTTTGCCTACAGGCCTAAAGTGGTCCAGGCAAGAGCCAGCAGCAGGACAGAGACCACACTGACAGATTCAACACCCACGGCTGCTTTACCTGAACACAACACAAAACAACAGGAAGTGAAATGGATTGAACATCACAATGGATTTTAATTGCTGAGGTGAATACTCTAGAGATCGAGTTTGGGATTGGTATGGTGTTTTTAAACCATACTGAAAATACTAAAAGAAAGGATTTTCTGCTCATAAAGGCTGCATTTATTTTATTAACAATACAATAAAATAGGGAAATATCAATATAATTTAAATTAACTGTGTTCTTATTGAGTGTAGTATTGAATTTCTGCATTATTACTTCATTGTCCTTTGGAAATCATCCCAGCGGGCATCACAACAATATCAAAAATGCAAATCAATTTGATGTAAAAACCTTTCTGTCTGTTTGACATTCACACATTAATGCTGTTTTAACCACCAAAATAACGATACAAAAAGAATACTAATATAAGAAATGGTCTTATTTAATAACAAATAACAAATTTGCGCTGTATTTTGTATCCCTACAATGCTTGATGATGTCAAAATGACATCTAACTGACATCTAACATTGATGTCAAAAATACATCAAAAAGTCAATTGACATCAAAACTATTTGCATTTTTGATGTTTTTTTGATGTGGGTTTGGGATTATAATATATGTTTTCAATTACGGTGAATTGAGACATAATTTTTGCCCTGATAATCATGGATATTATTAGTGTATGAAGCACTGACCCTGTACTCTGATCTGTGAAATGGGTCCATCTCCTCCCTCACAGCGAGCTCGCAGCTCTATGACGTAATCACCAGTTTCTGGCATGGGGAAGTCAATGTAGTGCCTGCCGGTGGTGTAAAGCTTCCCATAACGCTCACCTTCCTTCCGGAACAAAATCTGAGGGAAAAACACCCTTTTTCAGTGATATCAATATACATAAGTAAACATTTATTTTTCGGCTTAGTCCCTTTATTAATCTGGGGGCCCAAGGTAGAATGAACCGCCAACTTATCTAGCAAATGTTTTACACAGCGGATGCCCTTTCAGCTGTGTGCATAATTACTTTAAATAATAAACTGAAACAAAATTGTATTAAAATAAAATAAAATTTAGGTTGCGATAATAAAATAAAAAATAAATTTATAAATATCCATTAAAACAAGGATAATATAATTCAAATTCTAGTAATAAATAAACAAAAATATATAAAATTGAATAACAAATTAAATTGTTCAAAAGATAACAGGACTAACAAGTCATTTGTCAACAGATTTTTCTAATAAAACTTTAACTATGATCAGCTCACCTTGTACCCCTCCACATAAGACTCATTCCAGTAGTTATAGATGTGATCCCAATACAGATACAGCCATTTGCGTGTAAAGCTGACATACTTGTAAACTCTCAAACGACGACTTGGGGCTGAAAGCACAACATACATATACAGTATTCTCATTTCAAATATGACAGCAATAATAAAAATGTGTGACTTCAAAGATATCTTACGGGGTCTTCTGGTAAACATTTCACAGTGTTCGCTTGGTGGTCCCAGTCCTGCTCCATTAAACGCTCGCACCTCAATAAGGTAATGCGAATCAGGTCGCATGTTTTCCAGACGGGTTTGGTTTACAGTTCTGTGAACAATGACTCGAGATGCAGCAGCTTCATTATCATCGTATTTTCTCCAGTAGCGTATCTGCAAAATCAAGTGAAGACACATGAGGAGCAGGACATCTTGGTTATTCCAAGTTATTTCACTTAAGACCCAAACTAACTTGGTATCCGTCGACCCACATTGGTGGTGCCTGGTAGACTGGTAACCACCAGACTAAAGCCTCTGTGGAGGTGACCTGACGGGCATACACATCTAGTGGGGCTTCAGTCGGTGCTGAGGGGGACAATACATAAAGGATGCCTTGACTGAGCATTTTTTTAAGTAAATCAGTTAAAAAAGAATATACATAAACAAATACATTAGATGGATGGATGGATGGAAAATTTATAAATAATAAGAGATACTACTTCTGTCATTGAAAACTATACTTTAAATGAGAACAAGATAGTTATAAAATAATTAAATTCATTAACAAGTAATAGATAGATATATTATGTGCATCAAAGAAGGTTATAAAAATAATATAATATATAATAGATAGAATAATATATAAATAGAATAATTTATTTTTAAAATCCAGTAATATTAATCATTGGGAGAGAACACATCTAAAAAACATAAAATAAAAACATGTGAAATAAAATGTATTAGAAAACATAATAACTCCCCAAATAGCAGGGGAGCTGCACTGCAAAGGCCCTTGCATTTTTGTTAGCAAGACAGTGTATTCTTTTATTATGGAAACAAAGATTTCCCCCGAGTTTTGACAACTGGTTGAGAGATGCAATGAGCTTCATCCATTTGGAAAGAATCAGGTTTACAATAAACGGCAATACTAGAGCTTTTTCTGAAACATGGGACCTATTTAGAATTTTCTTAACTGAGCATGTGAGTATCTCCACAGACCGTCAATCTAAATCTTAGGGCCTTACAATTGCAAAGCAAATGTAATTAATTACTTTCTATAAATACCTGAGGATTAATGTTTGTAATATTGGGTTATCAAGGTATATGTATATTCTGTACAGGTTTTTAATTTTTTTATTTATTGATTTGTTTTATTAATTTATTTTTATTAAGCAATTTATTTATTTAATTAATTTATTTGTTTGTTTGTTTGTATGTTTGTTTATATTTCTTCTTTTCTCTCTTTTTTTCTCTTCTTTTCTAAATGTAATTTCAACTTGTTTGGAGGGTGGGGGTGGGAATAATATTTGTTTAAATTTCTCTGTAAAATTACTTTGTTATATCTGTGAAAATTTAATAAACAGATAAAAAAGAAAACTCAATAAATAAATAAAGTTATTTTTAAATAGTTAAAAAAGAAAATATAATTTAAAAATGTTAAAAATGAATATTCATCAGAAAAAACACAATAAACATTACAATTACAATGAAATACAATAAAATGAATTCATTAAATAAAATAGTAAACACAAGAAAATAAATGAAAAAGAGGATTAAACAGACATTAAATATCCTTACTAAACATCAGTTTAAATAAAAATATTTAAATAAAATTCAAAAGATAATACGAAATTAAAGTTAAAAATCCATACATTTTATTCATTCATTCATTCATTTTCTTGTCAGCTTAGACCCTTTATTAATCTGGGGTCGCCACAGCTTAATGAACCGCCAATTTATCCAGCACGTTTTTACGCAGCGGATGCCCTTCCAGCCGCAACCCATCTCTGGGAACCATACATTTTAAATCCATACATTTACATTTAAAAATACCTGCATACATATATAAAATTCTCACCTATTCTTGGTGAGTAAACCACTGATATAAGACTTGCGGGTCCTTCTCCTTTGTTATTGAAGGTGCTGACTTTGATCTGTATTTCAGTATCTGGTGTCATGCTCTCTTTGTACACATAACGTCTGGTCTCGGGATCCTCCACGGTTGACCATTTCCACTCATAATCCTCATGCTGCTTGAACGCCACAACATAGCCAAACTTCTTCCCAAAGAAAAACTGAGGTTTCACAGGCTGCAATAGAATTAAGGAACACATTAGAAATCCACAACTGCCTGCTAATTAACAAATCAAGCATTAAAGCACATGAACACGCACATTCCAAGTCACGATCAACTCTCCGCTTATTCCCACTTGTCCAATGACGTCAGAAGGAGCTACTGTTGGCCCTAAAACAAGAAAAAGTCTGGGTGAGACAATGATGGATGCAAACATTAGTTATTAATTACTATACAAACTTACTGGCATCCCATGTCTTGATTTTAATGGACGGACGGCTGTTTTCACCAGCTCCGAATTCATTGATGGCATGCACTCTGAACTCATATTGCATCCAGGGGTACAGGTCAACTACAGTGGCTGACTCTGTAGATCCATTCAGAAACGCAGGAGCTGGGAAAACACACACTGAGAGTCAAAAAACACAAAAGTAATCCCCTTCTCTTCTTAAAAGTGTTTAGGACTTATGAAAAAAATGTATCAGTCTGCATAAGAAATTGGACATCATTTCCAAAATTATTACTTGATTTCTATGGTATGACACGTTTGGTGTTGAGATTACAATAATGTTTCTCACACAGACAAACTAATTCTCTTTACAATAACTTAAAAGGGATAGTTCACCCAAAAACGACAATTCTGTGATCATTTACTCATCCTTTACCTGTTCCAAGTCTGTTTGACTTTCTTTCTTCTGCTTAACATAAAAGAAGATTTTTTAAACAAAGCAGGAAACCTGTAACCATTGACTTTCATAGTGTTTGTTTTTCTATTATAGAAGTCAATGGTTACAGGTTTTCAGCTTTCTTCAAAACACCTTCTTTTGTGTTCAATAGAAGAAAGAAACTCATAGAGGATTTGAAACCCTTGAGTGAGGCTAAATAGTGAGTAAACTTTCATTTTTGGGTGAACTGTCCCTTTAATATATCAACTGAAGCTATGAGGATTGATATAAAAATACTTTTTTGACTCTAAAAGTGATTGTGCCTACATCTCAGATGGCTGGAGGGTGAACAAATTAGCAGTAAATTTCTATTGATGAGTGAACTGTTCCTTTAAAATGTGCATTTTGTCTCCCTCTAGTGGACTCACTGGTAGTTGCGGTTTTCCAGTCTTCAGGATCAAGGGCGTAAAAGTCTCTTGTTTGCACGATATGCTGGATGAGAGGACTACCGTGATCTGATCCCAAACACCATCGTATTTTAACTGATGTGTCGCCGATTTCTTCCACACGGACGCCACCTGGAGGACCAGGCAAACCTGCGGCAAGAAGATGACAATGATATGTTATTTTGAGTTATACAGTAATACAAATGATTAATACAGCTTTGTGTAATGAACGCCAGCTATTTGTGTAACTAAATATCACTGACCTGTTCATAAAATGCCTATTAACGACTGACTTAAGAGTCAATTCAAGAGTTCACACTTAGCTGATGATTGGTAATAGGCTAGTTTGGCATGCTGTCCCAAGAGAGAGCCCTGAGCTCATGAGATCCTTGAGCCCGGGGCTCCCTCCTGTTTGCAAGGCGAGACGGGAATTTGAGCTCAGGTAGATCTCGAGGGTGTGCTGCTGGTGGAACTTGACTATGGTGCTAATTTGGTTTAGGTAATTTACTTATGTCTCATGTTTTGGACTGTGGGAGTAAACTGGAGGACCCGGGGAAAACCCACGCGAGCACGAGGAGAACATAAACTCCACACAGAAATGCCAACTGGCCGGGTAGAGAACCGAACCGGAGGCATTCTTGCTGTGAGGCCACAGTGTTAGCCACAAGGCCGCCGTGCTGCCCTATAGAGGAAAAAGAGGAGGAGAGGGGGTGGAAGGGGGGGATTCCTCAAGACGAAGATGACTAAAGGTAATCTAATACTATGGTTATTTATACTGAGTTAGGAATCGGCTGATTGGTGGTTTGTACATTAGCGTGACTCGGGGCCAGCCGTGTCAATCATAAGCACGTGATCCTCTCGAAATTATTTTATAAATAAACTTCACTTAGTGCACTGCTTCTAACACCTGAAATGAAATTCAAATTTCATTTTTAGTCGAACTGAAGGAGTTAAGTTGGTGCCGTGACCCGGATGGGAGTGAGGTTAAGGAAGTGACTGTGGCTCAACCGACACCGCAAGAGATCCACTTGCAACTAATTCTAAAAACGCCAGTCTTTCGAGACTTTGTTAGTGTGCCTGCTTTCCATGGTGTAACAGCTGCTTCAAAAACGGCACAAAGCAGGGCAAGTACAGAGTCGTTTTATTGGTGCCGTGACCCAGATGTGAGTGAGGATTAGTGATGTTGAGTGTTGCATAGAACAGTTTCTAAAAGCCTTACAGGTAAACTAATGCTGGCACATTCAGTCTTCAGCATCATTGTTAGTAATCCTTCCTCCCATGCAAGAACTTTATTTCAAATCTTGATCGGGGCAGGGTAAGTAAAACCGGAGGGTTTACAAAGATGGTGTGACCCGGATTGAGTGAGGTTTAGGGGTATGTTTAATGTAGGTCAGGGTTAGTTCACCCAAAAATAAGTATTCTTCCATAAATTGCACACATTTCTTTTGTTCAAAACCAATTTGAGATTCTTCCCTCTGTTGAAAACAAAAGAAGATATTTTAAAAAATGCTGGCACCCATTTACTTCCATAGTAATTTTTTGTCCTACTATGGAAGTCAACGGGTTCCAGGAACCAGCATTCTACCAACTATCTTCTTTTGTGCTCGACGGAGAAAAGAACTGGTTAAAACCATTTAATGGAGAGTAAATGATTTTTAATTTTCATTTTTGGGTAAACTGTCCCTTTAAGAGGCACACTAGTAACTTACGCTAAAGACCAGAAGGGTTAAATATGCTAATATATAAGAATCATTATTTTACATTGAAGAAATCACTAACCTCTGACAAAAACATCAGCTTCTGCGGTGGCGTTGTCCACTATAGTCTGAGCTGTGCAGATATAGTGTCCTGCATGTCTAATCTGAATGTTCTTGATCAGCAGGTCTCCGCTATTCTCATGATCCTGCAAAAAAACAATTCAATTATTTTCCCTTTCCTGTTCATTCCATAAACAGAACGCCTGGGGTTCTTGTGTCTGCTCACCATGTCCAGCTCGTAGTGTTCAAAGTCTGTGTAGAAGTTAATGATGTATGAATCGACAGTCCAGATGAAGGTGACGTCCAGACTGGGATCATAGGATGCAGAGCATTGGAGAACTATTGTATCCCCTACAGCTGCCTCAGAGTTTGATGGGCCAACTGTGATCTTGGTGGCCTCTGAAAAAATTGAGGAGATATAAATGTGGCACTTTATATTACTTATAAACACATTAATTATTTATAAATGTGAATTTTTTTTGTTTGTTATGTTCTCTCACCAGTAATAGTGAGGGTCCCAGTGCTGTTGGATTTGCCACGATCATTCTCAGCATAGCAGGTGTATGAGCCCTCGTCACTTTTTGTTGCATTCAGAATCTCCAGACTTCCATCGTCCCAAATGAATATCCTGAAAATAAAGGTGAATGACAGCCTCCACAACATTATATTCCATCCTAAGTACAGTAAATGCATGCTCTTAAGACTGACCTTGAGGAGTTGCTCAGGAGCTCCGAGCCTCGTTTCCAGATGAATCTGGGTTTGGGAGCAGCACGGGGATTGCACTCTATGACCACACGTCCATTTTCAGCCCCAAGCAGAATCTTCTTCACTGGGTTATATATGAACGTCGGAGCACAGGCTGAGAAAAGACCATTGAACAAACTCAACCTTCAGCTATAATTACATGTTCCCTTCGGAAAACAATTGTAATCAATAATGAGAGTAAAGAAGGATTGAAAAACTCACAGACAACCCGAAGCTCTGCATTGGCGTAGATGGTTCCCCATTCATTCTCAGCAATGCACTGATACATGCCCGAATCCTCAAACGTGAGACTGGAAAACTTCAGCTCCCCTTTGCCATACTGTGAATGAGAAAAAAAAATTTACACAAACATGTATGTATACATAAAACAACATGAAGAGTTTTCGTTTGGGTTTAAGACAGCAAATAAAGCAGGATATTAACCGAATAGCCGTCTTTTAGCCAACGTATCCATGGTATTGGTTTCCCAACAGCAACACATCTGAGAGTCAGTTCACTCCCGACATCTTTCTCCGTGTCATTGATGTGCTCCGCCCACTCTGGAGGACCTGTGGAGAAAATCACCCAATCAAAATCAATTATGCACTTTTTTCCGCATATATAATGAGCATCTTTGTTCAGAAACAAATATATCCACACTGGATATCAAAGTTAGAGAACAATTAAAACAAAAACATTTGATATCCTTCAAATATAGTATAACCTTCATTGTTCAATTTAGTTTTTTTCTTTATCAGGTTCATCTTAGGTCAAACCGAAAATAATAACTCGGTAAATACGATATAATATATATATAAATATAGATACATATACACATACCGTCATTCCAAATTTGAAAGAATTTTAACAGTGGGACTACAGTATTGTGTTGAATGTGTTCCAGTGACATTGTGAAGATTCTATTTTTCCAATTCTCTCTAAATTTCTCTTCTCTGATTTTGATTAGTGTTATTTTTTAACTATCATATGTAAGTTTTTACTGCGCTTAACAATATGTGCGACTCCTCCCAGCAGGCACAGGACATCAACATGACGCCAGATTGATGTTGTACCCCAAAACCGTGGGGACGTCAGTGTCCAACGTCCAACCTAAAATCAACAAATATCAACGTCTAATGATATTACAGCTTGATGTTGTGTGGACGTTATCACTATGACGTCTATCAAACGTTGGATTTTGGTTGCCATACACGATAAATAAATGTCAGTATTTGACATCATTATAATATTTTTTTTAAGATGTTGTCTCGACGTTGTATTTTGGTCACTTTCCAACACAACCTAAAATCAACCAAATATCAACATCTAATGATGTTACTGCTTGACGTTGTGTGGATGTTACCACTGTGACGTCTATCAGATGTTGGGTTTTGGTTCCCATACCTGACGAATAAATGTCAGTATTTGATTTCATTATAATGTTGGTTTAAGATGTTGTCTCGATGTTGTACTTTGGTCACTTTCCAAAACAACCTAAAATCAACCAAATATCAACATCTAATGATGTTACTGCTTGACGCTGTGTGGACGTTACCACTATAACGTCAATCAGACGTTGGGTTTTGGTTGCCATACCTGACGAATAAATGCCAGTATTTGACGTTAATATGATGTTAGCTTAAGATGTTGGCTCGATGTTGTCATTTGGTCACTTTTCAACACAACCTGAAATCAACCAAATATCAACATCTAATGATATTACTGCTTGATGTTGTGTGGACGTTACCATTATGAAGTCTATCAAACGTTGGATTTTGGTTGCCATACCTGACAAATAAATGGCAGCATTTTACGTCAACATGACATTGGTTTAAGATGTTGTCTCGATGTTGTATTTTGGTCACTTTCCAACACAACCTGAAATCAACCAAATATTGATGTCGTTTGACGTCGTTATTAGACGGTGGCTAGAATTTTTGTCACCTGACTTTACGACCTGAATCTAACCTGATATTGACCCCTTATGAGGTTGTGTGCCTGCTGGGATGAAATATGTAAGTTGACTGAGGTCAAAGTTAAGAAAACACTTGCAAACAAAAAAGCAGAAAACACTATCAGTTTGACAACACACGTGTGCACAAATTCTCATAGCACTGGTAAATACAGAAATGCAATGCAAATAGAGCAGACCACAATGGAAATGTGTTAGGGGACACCAAAAATTGATAAACCCTGCTCAATCCTCTTCAGAGTCAGCGGTGTTGCTGGAGATAAACAAAGAAATGAACTTTCCCAATGTGTCAATGTTTTTCTAAATGCATGTGTTTTCTTCACTTGGGACATGTTTCTGTATTTGCATGTGTTGTGAGGATTTGTTTGTGCATGTTATTAAACTGATTTCTATTTTCATGTGTTTATTAACTTGCAGTACGTTTGAGCTCTCTGTAAAAATGCTTCAAAATGACTATTCTAAAATAAATAAAACACATTATTGACCTTGTTACTGACGTATGAGCATGTGAGCCCATTGGAATCGTTTTGGCTTGAGACCTCCAGTCTCATTCACATCCACTGATATTTAGATGTTGAAAACAGCTCGTTATGCTGCTACATGTTTCAAACTGATATTTTCTTATTATTTTATTCTACTTTTTATCTATAGTCATGAACAAACCTATTTGTTGAGGAAGCAGTTTGATCAATTTCTGCTGTTAAATATTCCTAGTCATTTCTCCCATAGGCAACTGAATCGAAAGCTCTCAAACAATAAAGAAAACAAGCGTACTTCCGCATTGCAGAATAATGCCAATAGGGTCCTGGATAGAGTCTAATACTTCTTTATGTTATACCTTCAACATAGAGCCACTGTCGATACCAGTCCATCCCTTTCACATTGAGCGTCTCACACTCGTAGCTGCCCTCGTCCTCATACTGGACGTTGATCAGGTGAAGTAAAGCTCCATTCATGCTGACTTCATAGTTTGGCGGGAGATCAGCGTCTAGCTTCCTCCAGCGAATGTGTGGAAGAGGACTGAAAGGTAGACAATGAGTTTATATGAAGAAAAACAACCAGAAAAGTGTGCAAAAGTCAATATTTCACTAACAGAAAGGTATTGTTCAGTTATATTTACTGAGCATTTCCCATGATTGAATGGTTCAGATAAGGAAGACATCCAAAATATGTACTATTGGTGTGCCTCCAGGAACAGGGTTGGGAAACATTGTTCTTTAGTTCAATGCACATGATATATACACTATCTGCATTCGTTGACTTACTTTCCAAGTGCAAAGCACTCCAGAGTGATGTTCTGGTGCACCAAAGCATACGTCTTAGGAAATTTCACCCGGATATCAGCAGGATATCGCTTCACTTCCTCTGTTTAAAGTGTAGAGATACAAATGATTATTAGTTATTGTTAAACAAAAGTGTTCTAAGCAGAAATCTTGCCATTGTGGGTAATGTGAAAGCGCTTACTCTCTATCTGTGGAATCAGAGCTATAGGCATGCTGAAAACACTCTTGCCGATGGTGGGGCTCGACACAAAACAGGAATAATTGCCGACATCAGACGGCTCGACTTTCGCAATGTACAGATTCCCGGTGCTCTGAGAGACGAAGCGCCGCTGATCTGGGAGGATGAAGTTAGGGAAGTCATTGTAGATCCAGCGGAACATCACCTCATCTGAGAGACAACAAAACAACACAATGCTCATTATTAGTAAACTTACTAAAAAAATAATTATTTGTTAAATAATTAATATAATGTTATAATAATATATAATTGAATAATAATACATATCTTTTATAATAATTATTTATATAATATTTTAATAGTTTATTTATACTTTATAGTCATGTGCATGATTCATCTGTATGATTTTTAGGTACCATTAAATTGATAATTTTGTCAAATATATTTATAAACAACAATAATAATGATGAATTGTGTATGTACCTGCCAACATTTGTCTCAGAAAATCCAGGACACCCAGGGCGGGGGGTGGGATTGGATGTCTAGGTGTCTGGGTGAGGTGTTTGAATAACACAGCTAAGTAACATATATGCATGAGTTTCGGAAGCCACTGCGATCGATACCAAAGTGGGCGATCCAGGAGTGTTATAGACTGTACCAAAACGCTTAGAGGGGGGGAATTACGGGAGTTTTCTGGCAGAAATAACAAAACAAAAGGGAAGGGGATTGGGAGATGGGTCTGAAATACAGGTAGACTCCCACGAAAAATGGGAGTATTGGCAGGTATGATGTATGGTTGTATCATACAATGTGTATATATGGGGGGGGGGGGGGGGGTAAATAAATATTGAAGACATCATGTTTGTTTCCTTTGAATAATATTTCTAAAGAAGCTATTAACTTGGAATTGAATCAGATTTTGGTTAAAATCCAAACAATACAAAAAAAAAGAAAGTACTGAACTACTGAAACATAATTAATACATTATGTAAAAGGCTTTTTTGGTGATGACAGTTTAAAGACGCCTCTCATATGAAGAGTTAAGTCACATCAATTGCTCAGGTGTGATTTTTTCACAAACTGATGGTTTTGTGGGTCTTTCAACTCTGATCTCTGATTTTCTATTTTTTCTATTGGATTCAAGTCAGGTGATTGGTTAGGCCATTCTACAGCTTGATTTTATTTCTCTGAAAGCATTTAAAAGTTTCCTTGGCTGTGTTTTGGACCATTGTCTTGCTGAAATGTCCACCCTGGTTTCATCTTCATCATCCTGATAATGTAGAGGATGGACTGAAGCAGCTTATATTTATTTACAATGATGAAGAGCAGAGAGTTGCTGAAGAACTACTGAGAGTCTGGCTTTTACTGCCTTTCTACAACTTCCTTTCTTCATGTGTTCAATACTTTTTCCCTGCATCATTTCATTTTATTACACATAACTTTATTTGTAAACTAATTAGATCCATATGTGGATTTATTTGCTTGTTACCAACATCAGGTGAAAATGTCAAGTCAACAGCACTTTTAGAAACATGTTTTCTAAGAAAAATAGTGACGCCTTCAATACTTATTTTACTAATGCTTAATTTGAACTAAATCTTATTTGTCATTATTTAGGGTTGAGACAGAATCCCAAATGCCAAATGAGCCTTATCATAGTAGCCCTTGTTGAAATCTAACAGCGATCTTTTAATTGTTACAATATTAAGGTTAATTTTGCTGATATATATGAGCAGATCTTACCTGGATAGCGAGAGGGAGGTGTACACAGCAGAACAGCTCCCTGTCCTTCCTTCACATTCACCGGCTCTCTCTCATCTGTAGGAAACTGGTTCAGGTCTGCAGAACAAAGTACAACTAAGACTAAGCAACAGAGGGGAAAAAATGATTAACACAAACCCAACAAGTCCAATTCCTCACATACATCCAAACTTGACGTTGGCCTCTTTGCTCATGACGGTGCCGTACACGTTCTTGGCCACACATACATATTTTCCAGCATGCTTGTTTTTTTCTGGGTTTGTAATGACCAGGTTTCCTCCAACCAGGCTGAAGTGCTCATCTGGCTGCTCCATCAGCTTAATTTGCCAGTTGTTTAACCACCACCTGTGAAGTATGGCATTTCATTAATGAACTTCTGCTACAGAACTTTTTCCAATTGAGCTATGGGTAAGCCCCGCCCCACAAACACAAAGCCAATAGCAGCTGAGTATCAGAAGACTGGAACTCTTACAATTTTAGGTTTCAGCATCATAGAAAAACCAACCCAGGCTCATTCTGAAAATGTACCCCTATATATATTTTTCGAGAGTGCCAAATACGTCCCAGGAGGTATGTTGCTTTGCAGTTTTGATTTTTGCGAATCCACCAAAGGCTCCTGTGTATATTTTTTGAGATCTTAAATTTCTCTCGTGAGTGCACCTGCTCCTTCCCTAAACCCAACCAATAGTGTTTTCAAAGGCACAGATTAATCCGCCCACCCTCTTCTCCAACCCAACCGACAGTTTTCAAAAGCAGTCCAGAAAAAAAGCCCTCGCCTGATTTTAACCATGTTTTCAGATTTAAACACCTCACCCGTTGATTTACTTGTTTATTTTATTTTTTTGTTTTTGTCTTACTTGCCTTTCTGGAACCGTTTTTTGCCAGACTCGAACCCTGTTGTTGTGGTCAACTCTTCTTTGCATCTCAAGTCTGCCGATGTACATGGTGAGCTACTGACAAACTGGCAATAGAGGGGAAAACCGTCCATACGAAGGTAAGCAGTCAGCTGGAATGCCATCATACCGCCCCAAAGAGTTTATTTTAAAAACGAAATGCAGCCATACAAACAACTGGATACATCTCGATCTCTAGAAATGTATATAGGGCTACAATTTCAGAACAAGCCTATGTTGCGAAAAACCCTGGAAGATCCAAAGCTCTCATAGGTTTGAATGAGTTTATTCTGCAAATGTGGTAAAATAATATGTCTAGTGTACTTATGTAAAGATATTCCATTTCCTAAATCCAAACAAGACAACCTAATATACAGAAGATCAACAAGACTGTATATATTAAGTCTAGGTAATAAAGAAACTATGCTTTTAACTCTGAAAACATCACCTTACTTTATTGAAGTCCAGTTGTTATGTAATAACACAGCTTGGTTAGAAAGTTCTTGAGCCAGTGCTATTGTTAACTTTTTTTCGTCAGTGATGCTAAATACTGATTTACTCAATGTTAGTATTTAATGATATCCATGTCATCCCATCTTTATCTTGGAAAAACAGGTCATCACAGTTTAACGCATTTATTTGTTTATTTTTTTGACAAAATTATTAGATACTAGATAAATAGGTAGATTTAAATGACCCTGTGGTGAAACATATACTTGATTGTTTTCATGTGTGATTGTAAAATAAAGCTTCCAACGCTTACTGTAAATCGTCTTTTCCAAATGTACCTGATCCACTATATTTATTGTAAAATCTTTTATAAACACCTTCCGTGGCATTTTTAATGTTAATTTCCAACTGAACGCTACTGTATAAATATTAGTGATCCTTCAAAAACATCTTGGAAGAAGCTTTTCACACTGACGGCTGTAATTAGCCATTGGTTTCTATGCTAAGGTGAAGCAAGAGTCTTTTCAAAGTTCCCAAATGAGAATCAGGTGGGGTTGCATTAAGTTCTTAGAGCAGCTGACTTTAGTATTGGTAACCTAGTAACCAACGGTACACAAAGCAAGCATAATGGAGAAAGCTGATTAGTCATATACAGTAGATGTTTGTTCCTGGAACTAAGGATGTAATATTTTTGCCAAAACCACCTCACGTTAGCATATATTTTATAAATGTAATAAATTTTTATTCAGAGTTTGCTATTTCCATCACTTGTTTCTCATCTGATACTTTAAAATGCACTTTAACACAGATTAATGGAAGCCCAGCTACTGTAATATAGTCTGTTAGTTTAATTGTGACACAACTCTGTTAGTTTGTCCGAGTTAGCAACACTAACTCTGAGTCGTGCTTACTGATAGGTCAATTTTGGTAGGCAGAGGTAATAACAAAACGAATGTGTGATCGGAGAAGAATAAAACCTTACTTGATAATGGCCGGTGGGTTTGCACGCACCCTGCAGTTCATAGATATTTTGTTTTCAGGTGAATCCTCCGCGTACACAGTGTCCAGAGGCTCTTCCTCAAATATGGGCCCAAAGCCAGTGGCCTCCTCTGATGACAAGAACAGGAGGCAATGTTAGACTAGATTTACCACAAAAAAACTACTCAACTAACTACAATATGGTTAATATAAGTAATGGTGGAAATCATCGCTAAATCTAGTCTATCAGTGCTAAATCTAGTCTATCATTAGCTCATTCTAAGTATAAATGAATATCTGAGGCACTTAAGGTAAAATTTAAAGACGTACTGTCAAAAATCCTGGGTTCAAAGATCCTGGGTTTAATTGCAGCTGGAGGAAGAAAAAAAAAAAACGGTTCAGTTCATTTGGATTTGGAAGATTATTTATACTACAGATATAATTTACAGAATAAACTTGTCCTGGAACATTATATGTGACAGACAGACAGACAGATTAGATAGGATAGATAGATAGATAGATAGATAGATAGATAGATAGATAGATAGATAGATAGATAGATAGATAGATAGATAGATAGATAGATAGATAGATAGATAGATAGATAGATAGATAGATAGATAGATAGATAGATAGATAGATAGATAGATAGATAGATAGATAGATAGATAGATAGATAGATAGATAGATAGATATAGACAGACAGACAGACAGACCGACAGACAGACAGACAAACAGACAGACTTTACAAACAACACTTTATCCAGAAGATAAAAATATTATCAGACATACTGTGAACATTCATTTACTCTGTTAAACATCATAGATAATAACACAGAGAAAACCGCAGTTTAGCGCCCCCTGTAATGTTTGATACGGCTAACGTCATTGCACATTTTAGCCAGTTCGAACACAGACCATTCACCCTAGGTACACTAGAGGGCGCCTCTTCATCTACTTATCTACAGGTAGTAGATGACATCAATTTATTGCTTATAGGTGGGAAATAAAAAATTTATAATATGTGTAACGACATGATTGACATTTATTTGTTATTTAGGTTATAGGTCAAAGGTCATGTGTGTGATAGATAGATAGATAGATAGATAGACAGACAGACAGACAGACAGACAGACAGACAGACAGACAGACAGACAGACAGACAGACAGACAGACAGACAGACAGATAGATAGATAGATAGATAGATAGATAGATAGATAGATAGATAGATAGATAGATAGATAGATAGATAGATAGATAGATAGATAGATAGATAGATAGATAGATAGACTTCAAGAATCTTCTGTACAGCTTAAAGTGACATGTAAATTCTTCACCAGGTTAATTAGGTTAACTAGGCAGGTCAGGGTAATTAGTCAAGTTATTGTATGACGATGGTTTGTTCTGGAGACCATTGAAAAAAAATATATTGCTTAGGAGATAATTAGTGACCTTAAAATTAATTTTAAAAAATTATTTATTTAAAACTGCCTTATTACTGCCAAAATAAAAACAAATAAGACTTTTTCCAGAAGAAAAACATATTATCAGACA